AGGCCATCCAAGAACAATTAATTTTTTTCAATTATTAAGATCTGTCTTTATTGTGTGAAGTATTCTGTAATTGTGTTCAGACAGTTCCTGTGTGTCTTGGCAGGTAGACTCTCATACATTTTATCCTGTCTGCAGTTATTTAAAATAGTATTTCTCTGTCTCTGCTGTGTTTGTTGTTAATATATGGAAATGCTAATGATTTATGTGGACTTATTTTATATCCTATAACTTTACTAAAGTTGTGGGGAGACAGGAGTAACCAAATAACTGGACCAGAAATTTTAAATCAATGCAAGGTTTATTGAGTTCAACAGTGAGGGTGACTCTCCTGCTCACATAGAGTCACATTGGTCAGGGAGAGCTCAGTATTTTTATAGAGCTGGAGAGAAGTAGTGTTGGGGGATCTTTTTCTAGGGCTCTGGGGCAGATCTTGCATCATACATTTTGTCCATAGAACTCAGGACATTGCTGTTAAGTTACTTCTCAGAATTGGGGTGCAAAATGTTTCTCATGCAATATTGAATAATAATCAATAATGACATCTTTGCTTAACTCCTTATCTTAATGGAAAGGCTTCTAATTTATCCCCATTACAGATAATGCTTGCTCTTGATTTTAGATAAATATTGTTTATTATTTTAAGAAAAGCTCCATTCAACAATGCCCAAAAGGCTATAAAGCTGTGAATACCCTTTGATTCAGCACTACCTCTACTAGGTCTCTATCCCAAAGAGTTCAAAGTAAAAGGAAAAGGACCTATCTGTACAAAATCTTTATAGCAGCAATTTTTGTGAGAGTGAAGAATTGGAAAGTAAGGGGATGCCTCTCAATTAGGAAATGGCTGAACAAGTCGTGGTAAAAGATTGTGGTCGAATATTATTGTACTATAAGAAATGACAAAGAGGACAGTTTCAGAAAAACCTGAGAAGACTTACGTGAACTGATGCAAAGTGAAGTGAGCAGAATCAGGAGATCATGATACACAGCAATATGCTAACAATAATCAACTGTGAAAGACTTAGCTATTCTGATCAAATAAAACAATCCAAGACAATTACAAATGATTGATGCTGAAAAATGTTATCCACCTTGAGAGAGAGAACTGATGAACTCTGGGTGCAGATTAAAGCATTTATTTCTCTCTCTCTTTCTTTTATTTTTTGGTAACACAACTAATATGGAAATGTTTTGCTTGACTTCACATCTATAATGGATACCATAATACTTGTCTTCTCAGTGGGAGAGGAAGGGATAGAGGACAGGAAAAAATTTGCAACTCAAAATTAAAAAGAATGTAAAATTTTTTAAATTTAATTTGTAAAAAAAAGCTACATTTATTCTTATTCTTTCAAGTGTCTTAAATAGGAATGGGTGTTGTAGCTTGTCAAAAGCCTTTTCTGCATCTATTGAGATAATCATATGATTTTTGTTGTTTTTGTTATTGATAAGGTCCATTTTACTTATAATTTTCCTAATGATGAATGAACCTAACAATTCTGGTAAAAATCCAATTTGGTCATGGTGATGTATCTTTGTGATATGTTGGTATAATCTTGCCAGTTTTAATTTAAAAATTTTGCAAACATATTCACTAGAGAAATTGGTCTATAGTTTTCTTTCATGTTTTTTTGCTGTCCCTGGTTTAGTTACCAAAACCATACTTGTATTATAGAAGGAATTAGTTAGGATGCCTTCTTTACCTATTTTTTTTTAACAAACAGTTTATATAATACTAAAATTAATTATTCTTTAAATATTTAGTAGAATTTAGTTGTAACTGGAGATGTTTTCTTAGGGAGTTCATTTATAGCATGTTCAATTTCTTTTACTAAGATAAGGTTATTTAAATATCCTATTTACCCTTCTGTTGATCTGGGCAATTTATATTTTTGTAAATATTTATCCATTTCATTTACACTGTCAGTTTTATTTACTTGTAGTTGGACAAATAGCTCCTAATAATTGCTTTAGTTTCATCTTGTTTGGTGGTGCATTCATCCTTTTTATTTTTGATACTGGTAATTTGGATTTCTTTTTTTACAAAAATCAAGTTAGACAACAGTTTATTTATTTTATTATTATTTAAAAAACCAAAATCAGCTCCTGGTTCTCCTAGTTTTTTTATTCAATGACTTTTTAACTTCCAATTTTATTAATTTCTACCTTGGGTTTTTAGAAATTTTAATTGGGCGTTTAATTTTGGGGATTTTTAGTTTGTTCTTTTTCTATTTATTTGCATGCCTGATTTGCTGATTTGCTCTCTCTTTTTTATTGATGTAAACATTTAAATGTATAAATTTCTTCCTAAATATTGTTTTGGCTATATTACACAAATGTTGTCTGATATTGCCATCATTTTTAATGAATTTATTGTCTCTCTATTTATTCTTTGACACACTCATTCTTTAGGATTAGGTTATTGAAAGTCTAATTGATTTTTAGTCTTTGCTTCAAAGGCCCTTTATTAAATGTAGTTTTTATAGCATTATGGTTTGAAAAGGGCACATTTAACGTTTCTGCATTTTTTGCATTTGTTTATGATCTTCTGCCCTAAGACATAGTTAACTTTGTGATGGTGCCATGTGTAGCTGAGAAAAAAGTATGCCACTTTCTCTACCCATTCAATATTCTCCAGAGATCTATCATATCTAACTCAAAATAAAAACAACAAAACCCCACCTCTATTCATCTCCAGAACTTCTTTCTTGTTTATGGTTAGATTTATCTAAGTCTGAGAGTGGGTAAAGTGAGGAACTCCACTAGTATAGTTTTACTGGCTATTTTATTCTATAACTTATTTAACTTTTCATTTAAGAATTTGGATGCTCTACTATTTGGTGCATATATATTCAGCGTTGATATTGTTTCATTATCTGTGGTACCTTTTAGCAAAATGTAGTTTTAATTAGGTCTATTTTTGCTTTTGCTTCATCTGAGATCATAATTTAACTCTGACTAACCCCTTATTTTAACTGAGTATGTCCTTCTCTTTGACATGGGAGCTCTGGAATTTGGGTATAGAATTTCTGAAAGTTTTAATTTGGAGATTTTTGTCAAGAGATGATCAGTGAATTCTTTCAATTTCTACTTTGCCCTCTGCTTCTATCTGAGCAGTTTTCCTTTATAATTTCTTGAAATACAGTGTCTAGGCTCTTTTTTTTTTGATCGTGCTTTTCACATAGTCCAATAATTCTTAAATTATCTTTCTTTGATCTGTTTTCCAGGTCAGTTGTTTTTTGATGAACTATTTCATATTTTCTTTTTTTTTCCCTTCAGTATTTTGATTTTGTTTTATTGTTTCTCAATGTCTCATGGAGTCATTAATTACCATTCAACCAACTCTAATTTTGAAGGAGTTATTTTCTTCAGTTAGGTTTTATGCCCCCTTTACCAAACTGTTAATATTCTTCTTAATTTTCTTGTACTGCTCTCATTTCATTCCCCAGGTTTTTCTCTTCTGCTCTTATTTGATTTTTAAAGTAATTTTTTTTCTTTTTATTTCTTTCTTTAGCAATCCTAGGAATTCTTGTTGGGCTTGTGCCCAATCTGCAATTTTTTTCCTTTGAGGCTTTGCTTGAAGATATTTTCAAGTCATCGCCTTCTTCTGGATCTGTGTCTTGAACTTCCTTATCACCATAGTAAGCATCAAAGGATAAAAAAATCATAAAAACAACAGAACAGGCAATCTCAATTATAGAAAATTCAAAAGCTTTTACCCAAATAAAATCCATATATCTAGAATCAGAAAAATGGTATGAATTTTTGGGGAAATCTTTATACTAAATTCTTCTGGCAAATGTTTGATGTGTATATATTATTATTGTCATTATGAATTATTATTCCCAGTTTAAGATAAGGAAATAAAGACTGAGAGAGGTTAAATAACTTTCCCAAGGTCACACACCTCATAAATATCTGAGGTGAGATTTCACATGAGGTCTGAATTTTGGGTCCAGTGCTTTTACTAGTTGTACCATCTGCCTACTTTTAATTCTTCTGTTTGCACTAGGATGTAAGCTTTTCCAGGGCAAGTTCTCTCCTTCCCTCAGTCCTCCTCCTCCTCCTCCTCCTCCTCCTCCTTCTTCTCCTCTCTCTCTTTCTCTTTCCCCCTCTTTCTTCCTCTCTTTCTCTCTCTCTCCATCTTTTTCCTCTCTCTCCCTCTTTTTCCTCTCTCTCTTTCTCTTTCTCTCCACCTCCCTCTCTCTTCTTCTGCTCTCCTCCCCTCCTCTTCTCTCTTTCTCTCTCTTTCTATCAACTTTCTCTTTCCCTTTCTCCCTCCCTCTCCCCCTTTTCTTTTCTCCTCTCTCCGTCTCTCAGGGGTGGGGGAAAGGGGGTAGTCTTTATATTCCCAGTGCCTTTCAGTGTGACTTAAACATAGTAGAGGCTTGATAAATGTTGCTGAATTAAATTCATAGCCAACTGACAGCAGGGCCCTGAGGAAAAGGGATATAGGATGGTAGTAGAGACAGAATCAGGGCAATTTGGAATTTAGATTTGGATCCTATCAAAGACAAACTTCATTGACTTCATAGGTTTCTTGAGATGGCCCCTATTTCGCAGAATGGCCTCTCAACTGTCAAGACAACACTCCTGAAAAGAAATCCTAGCATCCCCTCCTGCACCCTCTCTAGACATAGCTAGCCCTTACCTTTCCAAGGGTCATTTGAACAACAGTGATTAAAAAGGAAATGGGGGAACTTTGTTAAGGTGGCAGACAGAGGAGTATTTGCTGGACCCCTTTGAGGTTCTGATTTCTCCCTCTCTCCTGACTGAAGACCTTACTGAGTGTCTAACTTGATGGAGAGGAGGGAGTGTCTCTATAAAATTCCCTTATTTCTTTTATCCCCTCTCTCTGAAAACCAGAAACTCAGGGATCTTCTCCTCCTTAATGCAGCCCAGCTGAGGTGCAGGGAGAGCAAACATTTCCTGGTGAACATTTCAGCCTTCCCTCCCTTTCTTCCCCACCCACCTTGTGTCACCAGATCAGAGGTTGCTCTGCTTTTGGTGCTATCTTGTTCTGCTAAACAGCACTTGCAGAGACAGGCTACTGGGGAGGCAAGTTTTGACCTCAGTTAGCAAAGAGGCAGGTATTCCTGGGCTTATCTGGTAAAGATGAATCAGCTTGTTTTTAGGGTCTCATCAAAAGTCTAGAAACCTACACTCCGGTCCCTGCTGCTGCCACTCTGTCTCTCTCTGTATGATCTTGGACAATTGCTGGTCTCCTTTGCTCCTCAGTTTCTCATCTGTCAATTGGGGATAACCTGCCTACTTCAAGGAATCTGTGAAGATCAAAGGAGAATGAATGTGAGTGTACTTTGAAATGCATAAAGGACTTCACAAATGAGAGTTAGTTGTTTTGTTACTATTACTGTGCATAGCTGAAAAAAAATTTGACCAGGCTGGAGACAAAGAAGTGTGTATGTGTGTGTGTGTGTGTGTGTGTGTGTGTGTGTGTGAGAGAGAGAGAGAGAGAGGAATTAGAATAAGTGAGGCAGATATCCACTGATTAGTCCACTGTAGGGAGAAGACCCTTCTGGGACAAGAGGTAGAATTATAAATGTTTGAAACTGAACTGTGACTGAGCTATTACTCCCTGTAACCACATCCTCTTAGCACAAACAGGAACTTTGCAAACTGAAAGTTATTTCAGTTAGCAAAGAAGGAAGGTGAGGAGGATGGGGGAAGCCACAGATGGAAATCACATAACAATTTCTTATCTTTTACTTTTGTAGCTCACTGTGTCTGACCTCTCTCTCCCAATCTCTGCTGAAACTCACAGGCTGGGTCCTCAGGGGGAGATTGACAACTTCTCTCATCTCAGGATTCCAGGAGTAATCCTGAGGGATTGAGGTTTCTCATACTATTACTTATGAGTTCCAATTTGGTGTGTCTCACTCACTCACATATCAATTAACCAGATGATATCAGCTAGGTTTTTCCAAAGGATATTTACCAAGAGGGTAGAGCAAGGCCTGAAATGACAAAAATGTCCCTCCCACTCCCCCAACCCTCTGCACACACTTGGTCCCTGGAAATACTAGGCTCAAACTTGAAGCACAGAGGCACCTGCACAAGGAACACCTGTGGCCTAGGGGTGCCCCCTGGTTCTGAGAGTCCTGTTCTCCTTCCAAAGGGTCCTCACAATGACATAACTGATGGATGAATCACTCCCTCGTTTAGCTCCTTGTAAGGCTCATTGTCCCAGCTGTCCAGTCATTCCATTGCTAGACTGGATTAATCAGGTTTCTTATTGGCTGCCATGGTTCCTCATTGGACTCAATCGTTGCTGCCACTGACTCTGGACTGCAGTGGTAGATGAAACCTCAGAGGGTTTGATGAATTTCCTGGTCTCCCTAGTCTCCTGGGTGCTCCCCTCTCAGAATACTCATACACTGAAGATCAGAAAAGAGCAAACACAAAGGAATAGATGTCCTTCCCTCAGGGATACATGGCATCTGGGTGAGGAATGAGGTAATCGAAGCTGCTCCCCTTCCCCACCTGGAGGCCCATAGCAGCTCCTCCTCACTCAGACATGGCTGGGGAGAGAGAAGTGCATGAAGGGCCTTGTGGGAGACTACTCAGCTCAGGCTCAACCTCTGTTCAGTCATTAGTCCTTCCACTTCCTCAGAGACCCATGAGACTTCACCACCACAAAGCACCAGTCCCTTATTTACCCATGGCCAGAAGAAGTCTCCCCATAAGCCCACGTGTTGGGTGAAACCAAGTAGGGAATCATGGGCAAGCTCTAAGGACTGGGGCCTTGTGGGACAGTCTCCCATTGTACCTCTTTTTATATTTATGATAAAGAAACATCCCTTTTCTTATCCTTTTTTTTGTAACCCTCTTAAAGGACATTAGGATAGAGCTGTGAACATCAATGAGTGATCTTAACTGAGCACAGGCTTTAGACCTGGAAGGAACCCCTAGAGAACTTGTCATCTAATCCTCTTATTTTACAGATGAGGCAACTGGGGGCCGATGAGGTATAGTGAGTTGTCAAAGCCTGCAGAGCTAAGAAGTAGCATATGTGAGGCCCTTTCCCCTCAGCTTTCTGACTCCAAATTCAGGGCACATGCCACTGTCATCTATTGTTGTCAGTATCACTCATCCATAATGAGCCCCACCAGTCTATCAGCATGTTATACTTTTTAATGAACTTTCCTTGCTCATATTTTTAACAGAGATCATCTGATGACAGTGTCCTGACTTAAAGAAAGGACTTCAAAAACAAAGATTTTAGATACCACATTAGGCCAATAGAGGAACTATATTATGGGACAAGGGAAGCTTTAATTATTCTCTCATAAAAAGCCATAGAGGTAATTACCTTTACTTGATTTTATAATGAGCAGGTTGCATCAAATTATAATCATCAGATCTTAAGAGTTGGAAGGTCCTGAGTTCACCTTTTCCAATGTCCTACACAATACAGGAATCACTTCTGCAACCCACCTCATAGATGGTCATCCAACCTCTACTTGACCATTTCCAGTGACAGGGAATTCAGTACTTTTCAAACCATTCCATTGAAAAGCTCTATTAGCAAGAAAATAACAATGGGATTGAGAGACAAAGGATTTTAGAAATGTCATAGTGATTTTGGGCCTCAAGATATGGACAGTATTCAAAACTATCATGATGTTAGGAGTTAGAATTGGAGTAGAAGATTATAAGTCATTTTGTTTTTACTTGTGGAAGGACATGCAGAAGAATTCTCTTTGGGAGGGAGTGGGAAGAGATGATCAGAAAACCAAGGTGAAATGTCATTTTTATTTGAGAGACAGGTCCAAACTGGCTGATACTGCTACTCTATGGGTCAGACAGTCAGTTATTCAATCCTGAACCTCTTCCAAGATATCCTGGCCCCAGGACAGTGCTAAGCCTTGGGTTGGCTAGCAGCAACATGAAGGCACAGGATGTGAGGTGATGAGGACCTGTGCTGAAGTGTTGACAATGGAATGGAGAAGCAGAGAGGTCTTTAAAAAGAATGACCAGGAGCCACTAGTAAAATGGGGTAATATAGTTCTGATTCAAGAGTTTTTTTTTCTTTTTTGAATATTCTTTCTACTTGTGTTTGATTTTCAGAGAACACTGGTTTATAGTTTTCACTCTTAGAAGAAATGGTCGACTACCAATCCCTTGGACAAACTCTGCAGGTAAATACTAACTATGTACCCCTGGGTATTTTTGAGAGGCTGGTGAATTCCTCCATCACTCATAAATATCTCACATCTTTAAATTTGACAAATAAGAGGTATGGAACATGCTTGAAGGGTTAAGACAAGCTGTCAAAGGAACCATGAAAAGTCACCTATGCTCTCAAGGCAAGTTATGAAAACAATGGTCTTTGTGTGTTACTATTCGCTGTATACTTTGAATCTTCACTGTAAAACAAACACCTTGGCATATTATAATATAAAAGCTCATGGCCACAGAGAATGGAATTTTCTGGCACAAAAGTACATGAATCTATTTTAAAAAATTATAATGAGGCTCTTGTTTATCAGCAGTCCTGTCCCTTATCCTTTCCTAGGCAATTGCCTATTTTGCCTTCTCCTAGGCCCAGCTCTCTACTTAGTAGGGCTGATTCTTGGGGAAATTGTGGAAACATCAAAGTTTGTTTTAGACATCCCTCTTCCATGCCCCTTGCTTCACTTTTAGCATCATCAGTCCCAACATACACCCCTCTGCTGGACCCTGGCCATTAAGAGTTACTATCTTGGATAGTTTCACCATCTTCACTTACCTTCCCTTGTAGCCCAATCTGTAGAGATCCAAAAATCATTCCTATTTGTCTTTGGGGAATATATTTTACTTTCACTGTCTTCTGGGAATTCTCAACACTTCAAATGATCTAAAGAAATGCAACTGTGTAAACCTTTCATCTACATCTAGAAGAGTCATTGGGATGCCTATTGTTCTACTTTCATCTCCTACCTCAGTCCAATCTGTAGTAGTCACTTAAAAAAAATCCTTGCTGTCTGACCATTTCCCCTAGTCTGAAAAGAGCTAACCGCAGGCGAATGGCCTTCTCAGGTTCTCACCTTCTCTGGGGAGAGGGAAAGATAAGCAAAAGTTTTGATAAAATAGTCCTCCTGCTGAGAACAAAAGTGATGCTGAATTATGCCCTCTGAGCTTCTCTGCTTAATTTTACCCTGAAAATTAACTTCTATATTTTTCACCAGTGAGAATTACTCTGTTGGAATAATTATTCCCAAATTGAATGCTGCAATTCCTTCTGTATTAAGTAAATGGATTGGATTAGGTAGTTTCAAAGATTCTTTCTAGGTCTAATACACTGTGTAATAAGTACTTTTTTATCTCCCCCCCTTTATTTCTAGAAAGGAATGCACAAGATGAAGAAAGCAAAAGATGGAGATGTTGATGTGGGTAAGGAGACAATATCATTAATGTGTTAGTCTCAGTGTCCTCCTGAGAGACATAGAAACAGTGGAACTGGTGTGTGCACCAGTTTTTCCCTTGTGAATGATCAGCTGCAATCATAGAGATAGAGTAGGGCTGGACGTATAGGCAGAGAAGGTGACCATCTGTATGGTGTAGTCTGGCAACCTCAGAAGAAAGTTTCCATCTGTTCATAAGTATGTCACTGGCCTGCCAGCATGCTTGAAATTTATTCCTTTGAGTTAAGGCAAGGATACTCATCAAAATGTAACTGTCCCCAAAGGGGTAAAATCCTACCTACCTTCTAAGGTAAGATTCAAATGTGACTCTTCCTTCATAAAGCTTTCTCTGACCCAAGATAGCAATAACCTCTAGAATCTCTGAACTCTCATAGCACTTTGTTAGTAATCTCTCTTGTGAGGCATCATGTTTTGTTTGATATTATAGTTATTAGAGTTCATATGTTTCCTGCTAGACTAAAGTACTATTGAGGGCTTGGATTCTTATTAAACCATATCTCACCCAGAACCCAGCATTGGACCGTGTATATAGAACTGCTTTGTAAATGTTTGTTGAATGGAATATAATGGAATAGAATGAATTACTCAATAAATAAATAAGACCATAGCAAATGATAATCTCTTAGGTACCTAATTATCACCGCGGAAGACATAGAGAAGGACCCTGAAGAGCTAAGACCTAGGACAGGGAAAAAACTGATGAAGGGGAGTCATCTCATGGGATAATGCTTAGGAGGAAAATCTCAGGTGGGCACCCTTGGGTGGAGAGGCAGTGATCAGAACATTGGTCCATTGAGGTCTCTAGAAACACTTGATAATCCCTTCATCCATTCTTTTCACTCACTCATTCATTGCCTACCATGTGCCCTGACTCATGGAGAATGAGAGAGAAGGACCCAAATATAATGGCTAGGAAGGAAAGGGGACACAAAAAGTACAATGTTGATTGATTGTCATACTACACCTCACCTCACTTCACCTTCCAAAAGTATTTAGTTATGTATCTAACTGTGCAAGTTACTAGGCTCCTCACCATATAGAGAGAAATCTGAAGATAGTCCTGGCTCCTACTTTCCAAATGCTTATAGTTTAAGACAAGCAGTTATAGAGAACCAAAGATATTTGATGGGATCTGATGGGACTTGTTGGGATGTGTCATTTTGGAGAAATATTTTCTCTTACAGAAAGCCGTGACATCTGTCAAAGCACTGAGCCATTGAGGATCATCCTGGTGGGGAAAACAGGAGCTGGGAGAAGTGCTACAGGAAATACTCTTCTTGGGCAGAGAGTATTTGAGTCCAAGCTAGGATCCCAGGCAGTGACTAAGAAGTGTCAGCTGGAAACTGGAATGTGGAATGGGAGAAGAATATCAGTGATTGATACTCCTGCCATCTGTGAGTCGAGTGCCTGGACTGAACAAATGTATAAGGAAATTGGGGAGTGTTACCTTCTCTCCTCCCCAGGTCCCCACGCATTAGTCTTGGTGACTCAGATTGGCCGCTACACTACAAAAGATAAGGAGGCAATCAGGAGGGTGAAAAAAATCTTTGGAGTAGAAGCCATGAGGCATGTAGTTATGCTTTTTACCCGTAAAGAAGATTTAGGGGGATCTTTAGAGGATTATGTAACAAATACTGATAACATAGACCTACAATGGGGGATCCGAGAGTGTGGCAGGAGATTCTGTGCCTTCAGCAACCGGGCCACTGGGGAAGAACAGAGGGCTCAGGTGGCAGAGCTGATGATTATGATTCAGAGGATGGAGGAAGAGAATGGAGGCAATTATTACAGCAATGCCCTTTACCTTGATACTGAGATCTTCCAGAGATTTAACAATAGAGGGTCTGAAGAAAGCTATCAAAACTACCTGCAAAAAGTTAAATTCCAAATTGAAAAGCAGACATTGGACCTAATAGAGGCTGAGAGTAACTGTATTGTCCGGGCATTTTTTAGGGCCCAAAAATGGGTTTCTTCCCAGAACAAAATCTACTTATGTCTTTTGTTCTTTGTCTTGGCTTTTATTATCATTATAGTTGCCATATTGATTTCTCAAAAAGCCTGATAAGTAATTATTGGAGGAGGTCCTTCTCAGCATCTCTATCATGGAATTTTTTCTAAATGGGTTTCCCTAAGTTTTGGAAACATATAAGACTCTCAACTCCTATCCTTCTGTAGAATACTTGGCAAAGAGACATCTAAAAGAAGTCAATAGTTTTCTCACTTCCTTTCATAAGAATTGGGAAATTAAATGGATAGTTCTGGTATCTGGTAGTGTTAGTAACATGTTTGAGGGGAAGCTGTGAGCTACTTTAGGCATCTATGGTGACCTCTCTCCTGTTCTTTCTCTATATCCTCTGCCTTGACAATGCCACCCACTCCTATGATTTTAATGATCATCTCTGTGTAGATAACTCCCACATCTAGATCTCTAGCTCAAACTCTCCTACATTTCCTGTTGTCCATAGCACATTTCTAGCTGCATGTCTTTCCAGTAATGCAAACTCATCATGAAAACAAAACTACACACGAGCTTTCCCCCAAAATGTGCCTTTACTTTTCTCTACCTAAATTTATCCAGTCCCTGATATTTGAAACTTTGGGGTTTTCTCTAACTTTCCCCTTCTCATTTACCTGAACTGTCCAAACTCTGAACTGTCCATTTGACCTCCAAAATATCTTTCCATCTGTCGCCTCCTTTCTTCCCAAAGCTACTATCCTGATATCACCCACATAGGCTATTACAATGCTCATAGATCATTGAATCATTGATTTAGAGATGGAAGGGACTTTCTAAGTCATCTAGGCCAACTCTTATCATTTTATGGTTAAGGAAACTGAGGGCTTAAGAGATCTTACTTCCACAAATCTCTCCCCACTGCAATTCATTCTCCACTCAGTATTGTCAAAGAACACTTCTTAAAGCACATGTATGATCAAATGTAAATCTGTTGGCATTTGAAGCTCATCATAATCTGCCCCTCCTTTTCCAGTGTTCTTACATGTTATACCCCACCTCTGCCTCTCATGTACCCTGTGATCTGATAACCCTGGCCTCCTTTCTGTTCCTTGATTGCCCAACTTGGGGCATTTTCACTAGCTGTAACCTGTGCCTGGAATGCTCTTCCTCCTCATCTCTGCCTCCTAGCTTCCCTGGCTTCCTTCAAGTCCAAGCTAAACTCTTTCCTTCTACAGGAAACCTTTCCTGGTCCCCTTTAATTCTAGTGCCTTCTCTGTTTTGATTATTTCCAATTTATCCTGTATATATCTTGTTTGTGTATAGTTGTTTGCATATGGTCTTCCCCTTAAGACAGTGAGCTCCTTGAGAATGAGGACTGCTTTTTGCCTTTCTTTATATCCCCAGCTGTTAGCACAGTATAGAGTAGTACTTGATAGATGTTCATTAACTGACTGGCTTTCTGAAGGTCATATGGGTAGAAAGTGTACAAGCTTGATCATGTGCTTCTTCTCAAAACCCTTCAGTAACTCACAACATCACAGAATGTGAGAGTTGAAAGGGGCTGTAAACACCATCTAATACAACCCATACACCAAAGGAATCCTCACTAAAACAAATGTATTGTTTAATGAATAGAGACTAAACTAGTTTTTTTGACATTTCAGTCACCCTGAAATCTGGTATTCCTTTCCCTTTCCAATCTTTTTTCATACTACCCTTCTTTCACGTACTCTCAGTTCTAGACAAATTAGACTCCTAACTCTCCCCTGTTCAACTTACTTGTTCCCCAGTCGTACAATATCCTCCTCCATCTTATCCAATGGTTGAAATCCTAACCATTCTTCAAGATTGATCTCTAATGTCACCTCCTCCCCATCCCCCCTAGTATTCCCATTCATATAAGATATTTTACTTGTCAGACCTCATATTGCTCTTTATTTGTATTTCTCTCATGTACTTAATATGCTAAATTGTATAGTATAGTTATCTCTCTCTCTCTCTCTCTCTCTCTCTCTGTATATATATATATATATGTACATATCTTATCATTCTCTGTGATTATCTAGCACCTAGCCCAAGACCTATACAGGGTAAATGCTTATATTAGATAAATTAATTAAATATTACAAATCCTGTTGGCATCTACATTATGAAATTATTTTACTGCTTGGTTTGATAAAAGAACTAACTGCATGAATTTTTTTCAGTATATAGACCAGTTTTCTCCAAGAAAAAATTTTTGCTTCAATGTTAGACTGAAAAAGATTTTGTTCAGGAGATTAATTTACATGCTTTGGGTGATTTGGGGGTTCCAAAGAAAGGACTTAGCTCATTAACTGAAGATTAATCAGGAAATTATTCCAACTCTCAATGAAAATCTACTTAAATGGCTCAACTTCCTCTGCTACCTTTGTTATTAGATTCAATTGAAAAGAAATAAAAAGTGTTGCTTTGCTGATAGAGAATCTGATAAAGTCTTAGGATCATCTTTCTAGGCAGGAATTCTCATGGTCTAGGACTGAAGATGTTACTATAGATATAAAAGAGGAAGGGGAAAAGAGCAAATACACACACACACACACACACACACACACACACACGTGTGTGTCTATAGCCTAAATTTTGCTCTGAAGTCCTTGATGTCGTCATATGTTAAAAATAATAGCTTTTCCTCAGCAGTTCATGGTACCTTTACAAAGACTGACCATATATATATGTGTATATATATATATACATATTACATATATATACATATATATGTGTGTGTGTATATATGGGCGGGTGTGTGTATACACACACACACACACATATATATATATACATATTTCTTTTTTGGTGAGACAATTGGGGTTAAGTGACTTGCCCAGGGTCACACAGCTAGTAAGTGTCGTGTCTGAGGCCAGATTTGAACTCAGGTCCTCCTGACTCCAGGCCCAGTGTTCTACCCACTGCGTCACCTAGTTGCCCCCAACCACATATTAGTACATAAAAATTTTATACTTTAAAGCAGAAAAGCAGAAATATCAAAAGTATCCTTTTCAGATTGGCAATAAAGGTTATATTTAATAAAAGACCATGGAAACATAGATTGAAAACTAATTGGAGATTAAATAATATTAAGAATGAGTGGGTTAAAGAACAAATCATAGAGACAATCAATAATTTCATTAAAGAGAATGAGGAAAGATCATATAAAAACCTATGGGACAGAGAAAAAGCAGTACTCAGAAGAAAATTTATGTCTCTAAATGCATACATCAGTAAAATAGAGGAAGAGCAGACCAATGAATTGGGTATGCAATTAAAAAAAAAAACTAGAAAAAGAACAAACTAAAAGTCCCCAATTAAACATTAAATTGGAAATCATAAAAATGAAAGGTGGGATGAATAAAATTGAGTGTAAAAAACTCATTGAATTAATAAATAGGAGTTGATCACAGGAAAAACAATTAAAATAGATAAACCATTGGTTAATTGACTTAAAAAAAGAGAGAAGAAAAACAAATCAGTAGTTTCAAAAATGAAAGGGGTAAATATGCCACTAATGAAGATGAAATTAAAGGAATTATAAGGAGTTATTTTGCCCAATTATATGCCAATACATTTTATATTATATGCCAATACCATTTAAGAGAAATGGAAGAATATTTACAAAGATATAAACTGCCCAGATTAGCAGAAGAGGAAATAGAATATCTAAATAGACCTACTTTAGAAAAAGAATTTGAACAGGTCATACATAAGCTTCCTAAGAAAAAAGCACCAGGACCAGATGAATTTACAAGTGGACTCTACCAAACATTTAAAGATCAACTGATTCCAATATTAAGTACGTTATTTGAAATAATAGCAAAGAAGAGATCTTACCAAACTCCTTTTATGAAACAAATATAATATTTTAACCAGGAAGAGTAAAAACAGAGAAAAAATTATAGACCAATTTTATTAATGAATATGGATGCAAAAATCCTAAATAAAATACTAGCTAAAAAATTACAACAATATATTACAAAGATTAAATATTATAGTCAAGTTGGATTTATATCAAGAATGCAGGGATGGTTTAACATAAGGAAAGCTATTAACATAATTGATCATATCAATAATAAAAGTAAAAAAATCATATGATTATATCAATAGATTCAGAAAAAACTTTTGATAAAGTACAACACTCAGTTCTATTAAAAAACACTTGAAAGTATTGGCATAAATGGGTTTTTCCTTAAATTGATAAAAAGCATTTATCTAAAAACCATCAGCAAGCATTATTTGTAGTGGGGATAAACTGGGTGCCTTCCCAGTAATATCATGTGAAACAAGGATGCCTATTGTCATCATGTTATTCAATATTATATTGGAAATCCTAGCAATAGCAGTAAGAGAAGAAAAAGAAATAGAAGAAATCACAACAGGGAATGAGATGTTAAAACCATCTCCTTTTGCAGATAACATGAAAATATACTTGGTTTTTTAAAAGTCCTTTTTAAGGTCTTCTAAGAAATTTTTTTTGTGCTGGGATCATTTGATGTTTCTCATTGAAAAAAAGAGTGACTTTCTTTTTTTAGCTCCATTATCTTCCTCTGAATATGAACCCAGATCTCTTCTATTCCTATAGTAGGTATCTATGGTTAGGTTCTTTCTCCTTTGCTTACTCATATTTATTTATTTATTTGTTTGTTTGTTTGTTTGTTTGTTTTTAGCTGTTATTAATGTGACCAAGCTCTAGTCCTGAGGTATGGGGAATGATGTTCCAAGCCTCAGGTCCATCTTATTGTTATTACTGAAGTCTGTTCTGGAGCCCACTCTTGGGCTCTCCTATTCACTCCTAAGTCACTGCTAGAGCCCCCTGTCATGATCTTACTTCTTGCACTCCCTCCAGTGGCTGCAAACTACAGTTGTCCTCTCTTCCTTGGAACTAAAACCAGGGACTCTGCTGTCTTGCAAGTGCCTATAGCCAGTAGGGTCCCCACTCCTCTGCTACTGCACTCATCAGGTATATGCTAGCTCCTTCTCCCTGGGGATGGCTGCCCAGCCAGTGATGTGTCTGATCAGCATACCTATGCTTGGTGTCCCTCAACGGTTGTAGGTCTTTCAATCTTCTACTCAGCCATCAGCCCCTCACACTGTTGGTGAGATGAAAGTTTCTAAGGCTGAGGCTGCCCCTCAACTCCAACTGCCCTCAGGCCTTGTTGTTTATTGATATGGCAGAGTTGGCCTAGAGATGTCTACATTTCACTCAAGAGGAACCTCTGCCCCAGAAGGTCAGATCTTTCCTGGGGTTTTCTTAGATTGTCTTAGGAGAACAATTGCTTTACCCTGACTTTTGTTTGTTTCCACTGCTCTACATTTCCTCTGAGGCAATATGCTCTCTTTCTGTTGAGGAAATTTGGAGAGCCAAAAGTTTTCCAACCAACTCTGCTATCTTCCCTGAATCCTCTCTGAAGATGTACGTGGAAAATCCCAAAGATTCAACTAAAAAGTTAGTTGAAGCAATTAATAATTTTAGCAAAGTAGCATGATATAAAGTAAATCCACAAAAATCATTAGCATTCTTATATACCACAAACAAAACCCTGCAAGAAGAGACAGTAAAAGACACTCCATTTAAAATAACTCTAGACATATAAAATAGCTGGGAGTACAGATGGCAAAACAATCCCAGGAACCATATGAACAAAATTATAACAAAACTTTTTATACAAAATAATTAGATTTAAATAATTGGAGAAATATTAATTGTTCATGGGTAAGCAGTAGCAATATAATAAAAATGACAACTTTACCTAAACTTATTTATATATTTAACACTGTTACAATTAAATTACCAAAAAATATTTTACTGAATTAGAAAAAATAACAGAATTCATTTGGAAGAATAAAAAGTCAAGAATGTCAAAGGAATTAATGAAAAAAAGTGTAAAGAAAGGAGTACCAGATATTAAACTATATTATAAGGCAGTAATTATCAAAACTATCTCATACTAGCTAAGAAATATAAAGGTGAATTCATGGAAAAGAGAAGACATACAATTTACAGCAGCAAATAAATATAACAACCTTGTATTTGATAAGTGTAAAGACTATAATTTTGGTATAAGAATTCATTATTTGGTTAAAATCAGTAAAAATTGATCTTTTCTGAATGAGAAGACTAGAGAAGAGGTGGAA